TTGAATATGGACTGCCCTTGTGACTTAGATGTGGCTTAACCGAGAAGTCAAGACCAAACCAGTAGATCCCATCCAGAAACCTCTGTGTCTCCCAAGGTCAAAGCCTGGATTCTTACAACGGTCTAGACACGTTTCTCCAATGCTAGGTAGCACTAGTCATGTGGGACCTTTTAAACTTACATATACGTTAACCACCCATTTCCTCAGTCACACTAGCCACATTGCAGGTGCTCAAGAACCACATGTGGGCAGGTCCTACTGTCCTGGACAGACCAGTTAGGACATTTCCATCATGCCAGCAAGTTCTCTCAGACCGTGCTGACCTACACACTAGGCGCCCATCTGACCTCTCTGCCTCTCCCCCCTCTCCCCATGTCTCATGTGGCTTCAGCCCCCAGGTCTCCCTGCCGTTCAGGCAACACGCAGCCATCTTCCTGCCCCAGGGCCTTTGCACTTGCTGTTTTCTGTGGCCTGGAGACCCCTCCCCCACATATTTGCAGGGCTCAGTCCTTCACTCCATGTGACTATTTCTTTCCGGTGACACCTGCCCTGACCACCCTATTAAATATATGACCCATACACACACATACATAGTATCACTTTATTTTTTCGGAGGGCTGCCTGCCACCTGACACTCTGTGGATTTTACTTAAAACCAGTTGCCATGAAGTCAACTCCACTTCACGGCTACCCTACGTGAGTCAGAGTAGAACTGTACCCCATGGGCTTTTTTTTCTTAATATTTTAATTATTATTTTATTGTTGTTGCAAATATACACACAAAACACACACCAACTCGACAGTGTCTACACGGACAATCTAATGACACTGACTTATTTTCGAGCTGTGTGACCATTCTCACCTTCCTTGACTGTGCTGTTCCGTCCCCACTAACATCAATTCATTATTTGACTGCTAACCAAAAGGCTGGTGGTTCAAACCCGCCAAGCCACTCCTCAGAAGGAAGATCGAGCAATCAACTTCCGTAGTGATCTGCCACAGAAACCCAAGGGGGGGGTCGCTATGAGTCTAATTGACTCAATAGCAGTGAGGTGTTGTTTATTTATTTTTTTTTCAGTTCCTATCTAATCTTCAGTGGCTGTTGCAATTTGACCCCCTTCCATATAGCTCCTCTGACTGCTAACCAGAGGTTAGCAGTTCAAAACCACCAACTGCTCCCTGGAAGGAAGATGAGACACTCTACTTCTGTAATGATGTAATGCCTTCGTATACAGTTCGTAAAAGAGCATAACTCCATACGGTTTTTAATGGCTGATTTTTCAGTCGAAGTTCACCAGGTCTTTCTCCCAGGTGCCTCTGGATGAATTCAAACGCCTAGCCTTTCAGTTCTTGGCCAAGCATGTTAAGTGTCTGTGACACTTACCTGCAGGTTACACTTACCTGTGTGTGCTCACTCCTGCCCGCCTGAATCTGTGTCCACATCTCCGAGGAGGTCTGTGGGGTGGACTGATGTGAGAGTGTATGTTTGGGTGTCTGTGTGTCTTGCTCTATGTATGTGTGTGCGTGTGTCTTCCTTGGCTCTGGGGAGAGACAAGCAGGCTTGGGGAGCAGAATGAAGGCTGTTTTTCATTCTCATTTCCCAGATAAAGAAACTGAGGAAAGACACTAGACTCCAGATCTGTCTTACTCCAAGGCCTCTAGCATCGCTGCCCACCCCCCATCCCCATTCAACCCCTTACTCTCCTGGGTCAGAAGATGAACCTTTCATTGACAAACAGGGGCGTCCCGAGACCCCTGGGAATATGGCCAGGTCGTAAAATACCTTGGAGAAAAGACTAGGGCTTCCGAGGGCAGTGGGAGAGCCTCCTCCCGCCTCTCCCCACCTCAAGACCCAAAAAGGGGGTGTCAACTTGCGAGAACCGCAGTGCCCTCGTTTCCCACCAGGGGGCGCTCCAGGACCGCTGGTAAAGCAAGCGCAGGCGCCGGCGTTCCCCCAGCGCCTTTCTGTTCCAAAGCTGCACAGACGGTGGAAAGTGGATTTTGTTGCAGGGCAGCGTTTCTTCAGCGAGCTCCAGGGACCAGCGAACATCAGCCTCATCAGGGAACCTAGAAATGCCGATTTTCCGGCCCACCCCAGACCTACAGAGTCAGAAACTCTGCGAGTGGGACCAGGCAGTTGGTGTTTTTAAAAGCCCTCTGGAAGGTTGACACACCATCTCAGAGATGAAGTGGGGTCTGGTTCTCTCTAGGACCCTCGGTGTCGCAGTCCTCAACCCCAGCTGCCTACTGGGGGCTTCGCTGGATGTGCTGCGATGGGGTGGCAGCCCAGAGCGGTGTCCATTCCAAAGAGGGACAAACTGAGGGTCAGTTTTGCCAAGCGTCAGGGCTACTGTGGAGGGGCCAGTGTCTGAAGCGTGTTCCTGCAAGAACATGTGTGTCTCTGACTAGGTTCTGAGTGTGTGTGATCACATGAGCCCATTCCAACTCATAGCAACCTCCATGGGTTTCCAAGGCAGTAAATCCTGTGGAGATAGTTAGCCCGATCTTCCTTCCAGGCGGCAGCTGGTGGATTTGCTAACCTTCTGGCTAGCAGTCAAACGCCTTAGGCACTGCACCAGCAGCGCCCCTGACACATCTGTCAAACCCAAACCCAAACCCACTGCCATCAAGTTGATTCTGCCTCATAGCAACCCCCTGTGGGTTTCTGAGGCAGTAAATCTTTATGGAAGTAGGTCACCCAGTGTTGCTTCCTCAGAGTGGCTGGTGGGTTTGAACCGCCAACCTTCTGGTTAGCAGTCAGATGCCTTGGGCATGGTGCTACCAGAGCTGCTTCACACATCTGCCAGCGCATGTCAAATTTGAGGCATGGGGGGGGGGCTTGTAGTTGGACATGTGGCCCGCGTGAGCCAGGCTTTGTGCTCCCGTCTGCCTGCATGTCTGTGTGCACGCAAGCGTGTGCCTGTGTTGGGGACATGCCTGTATGTTGCGTGTGTGTACATATGGGTTGCAGCGAGCAAGAGTGTGAGCCAGCCCCCCGCCCCCCCATAGGGCACCGTCCCAGGCTTGCCAGGACGGCAGCTGCATGCTAATCCGTCTCGCCCCGATTGGGGGTGCACACTCCTCTCCCTCCCCACGCTGACTGCTGATACTCAAGCCTCCGACTCAGCCTCGGCAGAGCAAAGATACGCTGACACTCGGCTGGCTTCCGGCACTTTATTGAGCAGGTAAAGCATCCAGCATCGGCCCTTCACCGAGCCCTGCCTTTTCTCCCGTCTCGTCAGTCTCTCCAGGCTGCCACCGCTGCTCCGGCCACCACTCGTCTTCCAGGTCCCCAAAGACATCAGGCCCCGTTGGTCCCGCTGTTCTCCAAGGTGGGCAGCAGAGGGCAGCTGTCCCCCCCACCCCATCCCCAACCCCCTCGGTTGGCTCCTGGGCCATCTCTCCCCCAGGCTTGAGGACACCTGCTCCCCCCACCCCCTGCAGGCGGGGTCCCCACCCTGTCCATTCTCGCACACCCCAACGGACCTCTTTGTCGCCCACCTGACAGCTGTGGGCTACACAGGCCCCAGGCCCGCCACGGAGCAAGACACAGCTTTGCCTAGCAACACACCCAGCAAAACAGCACCGGCAACTGTTTCCTTCTTAGAAAACAGAACGGGCAAAAGAAAAGAAACACCCAGTGCCGTGAAGTCGACTCTGACTCCTGGCGACCCCACGAGCGTCAGAGCAGAGCTCTGCTCCACGGGGTTTTTTTCTTAAGCAGATTCAGATCTGTCTTCTCAGGCGCCTCTGGGTGACTTTGAACCATCAACCTTTCGGTTCATAGTTGAGTGCTTAATGGTCTGCACCACCCAGGGGCTCCTGAAGAAAAACAAAGAGGAGGGTTTAATTCTTTAGGTTCTAAGAGGAAAGAAAAATAAATCCAGGCACGGCTGGCAGCCGCCATCAGCAAAGAGCTGGCCTTCTGCCTTGGCCCCAGAGAGGCTACTCTGAGACCATTTGCTGTCCGTTTTTCACTGGTTGAGTGAGGCAGGCATAAGCTACTGCAGAGAGATGCCTCCCAGCTTCCTCAAGCCCCGTGAGGCCTCAGCACCCCGATTTCTCCCTGATGGCAAGTACCAGTCACAGCCCACGACATGTGACCCCATTACCAATGTGAGCAAGCTACCGGCTCCCCCATCAGGCCTGTTCCTAGAGCAACGGCTTTTCCTTGTGTCTGGTGAATGTCGTGTGTGCAAACAGCTGCACTAGGCGAAATGCATGGGGCTGCATCCAAACGGATTCCTGGGACGCACTAACAAACCCACATCGGTGGGGTGAAAGGCCCGGGAATCTGCATTTTGAACACATTCCCTGGTAATTTTTATGCACGCTCACGGCTGACAACCTCTCAGCCGAAGACAGGCTGAAGCACATACATCGCGGGCCCTACGCCCTCCCAACCAGCAGAGCCCAGGGGAATAAACGAACTTCACGGGTCATCACCATGAAGCATAAGGAAGTGGGGCGGACAGTGGGGGCAACAGAGCCCCGGAGCATTCTTCAGTTGCCACGTCCAAGGCCAAGACACAAGTTTCTTTTAATGTTTTCACTTTCAGGTCAGCTTGAACCCTCGCTCTTGAAGTTCAAGTGGACAGTGAATGTCAAGTATACAGGGAAAGGGAAAAATACACCAATGTCACCCTTCTCTCTCTCTCCCTTTTTAAAAATGAGCACCTAGAGTTGCAATGGAGGGAATTAATGGTATGTGTGTTGCAACTCCACTGTATCAACTTTTTTTCATATAACCCTTGAGTTGCTCTAAGGAGTGGGTATAAAAAAAAATGAATGCATGAGAGATGCGATTTTAACAGGTAAAGGAAGAGGCACCAGCTGGCAATGTGAGAGGCTCCGCCTTGCCCTGTCCCCCTCTTGGATTTTCAGATGCGAGGCAGAAAGGGCAGCCACCTCACTGCAGGTCTGGGAGGGGGAGGGCCACACCCAAGTGGCTGATAACCCAGCAAGTGGGGAGGGGCGTGGCCCAGGCCCCGCCCCGGCTCTCACAGCTGGTGTTCTCTTTCTCCCTGCTCCGAGTCTGCGCTGGCCTCGGCTCCCAGCACCCGGAGGCTCCTGGCCTCGCCTGCCTTGGGGGCTCTCTTGGGCAGCGTTGGCAGCCTAGGGGTGTGCCAGAAGGCTCTCCGGCGCTTGCGAAACCATGAAAAACGTCCTGGGGTCTGGAACCTCACTGTTTTGACCTGTTTCCGGGCCCTGGCTCCTGGGGTTGTCTCTGGGCCCCCCTGCATAGCTGCAACATCTGCCCTCTGGTCACCCGAGACCCCTGCCACCTGGTCACCCGGGACCCCTGCCACCTGGTCACCCGGGACCCCTGCCACCTGGTCTCCCGGGACCCCTGCCACCTGGTCACCCGGGACCCCTGCCACCTGGTCACCCGAGACCCCTGCCACCTGGTCACCCGGGACCCCTGCCACCTGGTCACCCGGGACCCCTGCCACCTGGTCTCCCGGGACCTCTGCCACCTGGTCTCCCGGGACCCCTGCCACCTGGTCTCCCGGGACCCCTGCCACCTGGTCACCCGGGACCTCTGCCACCAGGTCACCTGCGACTTCTGCCCCCTGAGCTGCCTCCTCCCTCCTGCGACGCCTCAAGGAGGCCCAGCTGATCTTGGGCCTCCATCGTGGTGGAGGGGTGCAAGCCCCCTGCCCACCTCCCGCGTTTCCTGTACTCTGCCCCTGGCTGGTGCCAGCTGGCCCTGACACCCTGTCCCTCTCCACCCTCGACAGGGCCTGGCGCGCCTCGCCCATCCCCGGGAAGGACCTGGGCGCCCAGCTCTTCACCCTGCGCGTCAGCTTCCCCCAGGACACCTGGCTGGCATACTCGCGCCACCTGTCGGCCTTGGAGAGCTGGGGCGGGTGGTCCTCCACCACGGGGACGGGCACGGCCACCCGGCGGCGGGCAGGGGCCGCGCCGGCCTTCTTCTCCCCTCGCCGCAGGAAGGCGTCCACCAGCTCCTCATCGTCCTCGCTCTCCTGGTCACTCCCCAGGAACTTGCTGCCCAGGTAACTGACGGGCATTTTGCGAACCCTCCGGGCCCGGGCCTGGCCCGCGCCGCGGCCGCCCTTGTCCCTGGAGGTCTCGAAGTCGCTGAACTCGCTGTCACTACCGTTGCTACTGTCATAGGTGCCCACGACCAGCCGGGGCGGAGGCGTCACCATCTGCTGGATTCTTCTCCGCGCTCGGGGCTCCTTGGGCTTTTTGGGGGGCTGGGACGGGTGCGGGGTGCTCTTCTCAATGATGCGAGCCACGTCCTCCAGGCTGCGGCCTTCTTCCTCCAGGAACTGGGTCAGGCGCTCTCGGAATTCCGCCTCCTTGGTGGCGGGCTTGGAGATGACTCGCCAGACACCCCCCGCCAGGCGGACCTCGCGAGGGATGAGCAGACGGTCCACGTCCTCCCCAATCTGCAACATGCCCACCGTGGAGTCCTCCTCCGTGCGGAACACCTTGCCAATCTTCTTGAAGGTCCCCACGGGCTTCAAGGCTTCCACCAGGACGTCCAAGTCTACATCTTTGCACACGTCGGGGACACTCCACAGGATGAGCGAGTCCGGGGACGGCAGGAAGCCCCAGGGGAACCAGCCCCCCACATGGCTTCTCTCCAGCGTCTTTAAGATCTCCAGGGTGAAATCTGGGGTGCGGGGGGGCCCAAGGCGCCCCAACAACACGCAGTCCCTAGTCTGGGGGTCAGGAGGGTCCCTGCAATGCTGCCCGGAGGGCCTCAATTCCCCAGCCAGGGATGAGCCACCGGAGAGGCACCACCTCCCTCTGGGTCTGCAACCAGGCTAACCTGGGCCAAGACAGCTCCCCTCGGTGGCTCGTGGGAACGAAGTCCTACGACGCTTACGTGAAGGGGCGGGGAGTCTGTCCCCAGGCTCCAAGCCGGCGCCAACTGGAAAGCAGCTCCAAGTTGGGGTGCCTGGTGGTTCGTCTTGCCCCAGGCACCAAGGGGGCGGCTGGAACTTGCAAGCGGTTTCCAGACAAAGACGGCTCAGCCGTGGCTATTCAATATGGCCGAGGCGCTCGGAGACTGCGGCCCGGCCCCCTCCGGAGGGTCTCCCGCCCCCAGGCAGCCTGCCACCCCTCCGGGCTGACCTTGACGCGCTGCGCGCCCAGTGCCGTGGAGCGCGCAGGCAGGAAGTTCCTCCTCCCCCTCCCCGGGGTGAGGCCCACCTTCCCCCTTCTCAGCTTACACTCCCCGACTGAGGAAGACTGACAGGGGGGCTGTCCACTCCTTTCCAGGCGGCCTCTCTCCCCACCCCCACAGGGGTGTGGCCGGGCCTAGCTGGGGCCACCCGCGTCCGAGCGAAAAGAGCGCGGAGGCCCACGTCAGCACCATTCCCCTGAAAGCAACCAGTTCCCAAACCTGCCATAGTACTTGGACCGGTTCCAGCCAAGCTCCCGGAGGTGGGTGTGTTAGTGGGGAGCCCCTTGGAAGGTCATCGACGTTATCTATTAACATTTTAAATGCACGTGACTCCTGGTACCAGCAGTACCAACCTATCTATCTATCTATCTATCTATCTATCTATCTATAGGAGCTCTGGTAGCATAGTGCCTAAAGCACTTGACTGCTAACCAGAAGGCTGGCGGTTCAAACCCACCAGCCACTCCTCGGAAGGAAGATTTTGGGCATCTACTTCCGTAGTGATACTGCCTCAGAAACCCAAGGAGGGGTCGCTATGAGTCGGGGCCAACTCCACGGCACATAACAACAACAACAACAACAACAACCCATGCACACATGTGGGTGGAAAAATTGGTGGTGGTAGCTACGGTAGGGCAGCCCGCATTCCTGGCGACCTCAGGCGTTACTGAAAGACACGCCCCCCCGGGCCCGACCGTCCCCAGGATTGGTTGTGGATCTGACAGTTATGATCCCTAAGGTTTGCATTGGCTGATTTTTGGAAGTAGATCCACAGGCCTTACTTCGTCGTGTTGGTCTCAAAACTCCGCTAAAATTTGGGCAGCACAGCCTCAGGCCGCACTTAACCGCCACCTACAGGGGGGTGGAGGGTGTCCGCTGCCATGCAGTCCATTCTGACTCAGGGCGACCCCATGTGTGCAGGTAGAGCTGCTCCATAGTTTCCAAGGCTGACCTCCTGGTCCGTCTTCCGAGGTGCCTCTGTGTGGGTTCAAACCACCAACCTCTAGGTTAACAGTTGACCACAAACCATTTGTGCCACTCAGGGGCCTTTTGTCCTGTGTACTGTTACTCGACTCATAGCGACCTTATGTATGTTGTTGTTGTGACTTGCCATCGAGTTGGCCCCAACTCATAGAGACCCCTCCTTGGGTTTCCAAGGTGATATCACTACGGAAGTAGATTGCCCAACCTGCCTTCAGAGGAGTGGCTGGTGGGTTTGAACCACCAACCTTCTGGTTAGCAGTCAAGTGCCTTAGGCACCACGCTACCAGAGCTCTTGACCTTATTTATAACAGAACCAAACGAAGCCTGGTCTGGCCCTGTCCCCACAATCGTTGCTACATTTGAGCCGTATACACTATGTACAGGGAAACCTATGAGAGCCGGAACACGACGGACGGCCTTGTTTTTCCTGGTCTCCCAAGATCCCCGCCTTTGACGAAATACAGTCTTACTACTTTTAATATCGCTCATTTTCACAGAAAATAGTTGAAGTCTCCTGTGACAGGTTTCTGCTTACACCGTTTCCAGGTTTTGTAGCTTTTACTCCACTATGAATTAAACCCAACCCAACCCAACCCACTGTGGTGGAGTCAGTTCCTACTCACAGCGCCCCTAGAGGACAGAGTGGAACTGCACCACAGGGTGTCCAAGGCTGTCAGTCTTCACAGAAGCAAAGCCCAAACCACACCCACTGCTGTGGAGTCGATTCTGACTCACAGCGCCCCTAGAGGACAGAGTGAAAGTGCACCACAGGGTCTCCAAGGCTGTCAATCTTGGCCGCAGCAGACTGCCTTATCTTTCTTCTGCAGAGCGGTTGATGGATTCAAACAGCCCACCTTTTTGGTTAGCAGCCCATGCCTTAACCACTACATCACCAGAGCTCCCAGCTGTTCCAAAGGGAGGGCAAATTTACTTGACATTAAAGAGCAAGTGTGTAAGTCAGATTGATCAATTGATTATACCCGGGACGGGCTGTGCTGGGTCAGGATCCCTGGGGTCAGAACTTTGCAAAGCTTCCTGGGTAATTCTGCGGCAACCGGCCCAGCAAGGAAAGCCCAACACCATCATCAACGGCAGCAGCATCAGGAGCAGGGAGAACTAACAGGAAGCGTTTCCTGGGGTCCAGGCATCATGAACCACAGAGCTACCCAGCAAGGTGGGTGCCCTCCCTGTCATCCTCTTACCAATGGGGAAACTCTAACTGGGGGGCCTGATATCTGAGCCAGCTCTTAGGCGCTAGAGTAATAGGCTCAGGCAAGCTCTACAGAAAACAGAGGTCAGGGGTCAGGTCATAGTGTAGTGGTTAAGGCATTTGGCTGCTAACCAGAAGGCCAGCAGTTCAAACCCACCAGCTGCTCCACAAAAGGAAGATGGGGCCATCTACTTCCGTAAAGATTTACAGCCTCAAACTTTGCTCTGTAAACTTGCACCTAAAGCACAATTTTAAAAATATATAGAAGCTCTGGTGGCGCAGTGCCTAAGGCATCTGACTGCTAACCAGAAGGCTGGTGGTTCAAACCCACCAGCCACTCCTCAGAAAGAAGGTTGGGTAATCTATTTCTGTAGTGATACTGCCTCAGCAACCCAAGGAGGGGTCACTATGAGTCGGATCGGACTCCATGGCATTGCATATATATAAGATTTACAGCCTCAGAAACCCAATGATGGTCACTCGGTGGCAGTGACTTAGGTTTTTTGTTTTGTTTTGTTTTGTTTCCCCCTTAAAGTGCTGGGTTGTTTAACCCCTTAAGAGCCAGAGCATGTTGAACCACCCTTATGTCTTGGTTTCCAAAACCAAACTCAGTGCCATTGAGTGGATTCCAACTCATAGCGCCCTCCCTTTGGGTTTCCGAGGTGGTAGATGTTTACTGCAAATGCCTCACGGGGCTCCCCACCTCCCCCTCGCTGCCCTCACCCCAGCATCTGGTAGCTGGTGACTGTTGTTAGGTGCGATGTAGCCCCGTCGATTGACAGCAATGCCGCGTGTGCAGAGCAGAACCGCTCCATGAGGTTTTGAAGGCTGTGACCTTTCCCGCAGGATGGGTTCGAACCATCAACTTTTCCACGCATCATTGAGAGCTTAACTGTTTGTGTCAGCTGGGGAGGCCTCCGGCAGCTGGAGAGAGCTTTTTAAAAATATAAGAAGTCCGTTCTGTCTCTATTCTTTTTTAAAATCTTTCCTTTCGCTCAGAAACATCCCAGTCCTCACTGTGGCCCATAAAAATAAACAAACTCACTGCCATCAAGTCAATTTTCGATTCATTGGGTTTCCAAGGCGGTAAATCTTTACGGAAGTAGATTGCTTCATCTTCTTTCACAGAGCAGCTAGTGGTTTTGAACCACCAATCTTCTGGTTAACAACCAAATGCCTTGGGTACTAGGCCACCAGAGCTCCCGTAGCCCACACAGTCCTAGAAAACCTCCCACACTTCCTCCCGCGGGGTCCTCACTTCCGGCCCTTTGCCCCCTGCGCTCTGGACAAACCAGCCTGCTCTTGCCTCAGACCTTCTCCGGCATCCCCTCTTTCCTTATTCAGACTTGGGGCTCAAACATCACCTCCCCCAATGACCCTTTTGAACCCTCCCCATTTTACAGGAGTGGGCCCCCCTCTCATCCCGGGTAGTCTTAACCTCTTCTGAGCCACGGACCCATTATAGCACAGATGGTTCTCCACGGTTATCAAAATATTCAAAAACAACACATCTGTGCAGTGGCAAGCCATGTACTTGTTACTGTCACAGCCCCTGAAGACTCCAGCAGGGAGTCTAGGTGTCCCAGAAGGGCTTGGAGGTTTCTGCTGCACGGAAAGTGCCACATGAAGACAACTGTGATTTCAATCAGTGTCAGCGTTGCACTGCTAATGCTACGGTGGTTTGTGGCTTGCCTTCATAATGGAAGGGAATGCTAAACTGCAAAGGTTCCTGAGGACAGAGCTGTGGTTGTATTTTTCCATTCAAGTTCAAGACCCCAGAGGCCCAGGCACACACCGAGTTAAAATACCTCTTGCTTCCCATTCTATTTCCTAGCACCTTCACAATCAGAAATTATTTTGTTAATTTTTTTTTTTGTCTGCCCTCACCCCCACACCACCACCATCATACACACACACTAGGATGCAAACTCATCCGTTCTGTATCTCTCCGAGAACAGGGTAATAAACCAGCTGCCGTGGAGTTGATTGTTGTAGCCCCCATGCCTGTCTGAGTAGAACTGTGCTCCCGGGGGGTTCTCGGTGGCTGATTTTTTGCAAATCGACTGCCAGGC